AACAGCCATGTTGCAAATCATAGATAAGAATTATGGGTTAATTTAAGTTGTAAGAGCTAGTTAATAATCCTAAACCAATAGGCCAAACAGTTTATAATTAAAATAAGTTTTATAATTAAAATAAGTTTCTGTATGTATCTTTGGAACTGAATGACTGCAGGATTTGGCAGCTCATAACAGTCTGTAACTTCAGTTCAAAGGGCTCCAAGATCCTCAAACTATATATATATATATATATATATATATATATATATATATATATATATGTATGTATATGTATGTGTATATATATATGCACATACATATATATATATACACACATACATACATGCAAGCAAAACACCAATGCAGGCAAAATAAAAAAATAAAAGTTGTCTTCTAACCTCATACACACACACATACACAGAGCACACTCATGCACACACACACACATAAACCTACCTCGCTTAGTTATATCATTCCTCAGAATATGCCCAAATGACTCCTCCTCTACAGAGAAATCTGTACATCCATGTTCATTGCTGCTCTATTCCCATTACCTAGGAAATAGAACCAACTTAGAAGGTCATCAACTGATGAATGAATAGTGAAGATGGGGGGGACATCATACATCATACAGTGAAATTTTATTCAGCATTATGGAAAAATTAAATTTGCAGGAAACTAGATGCAACTGGAAAATATTTTACGAATTGGGTTAATTAAAAGTTGCTCATTGGGTTTTGTCAACTTGATATGAACCTAGACAGAAACAAGAAGACAGAATCTGATGTGGAGGTGACATATGCTGTGAATGTGTTTTATTGCCACTGGATAATACAGAAGCTGCTTTTGGCCAATGTCTTAACAGAGTAAAGCCAGGCTGAAAGAGATATATAGAAAGAGTAGGCTGAGTCAGGAGAAGCCATGTAGCCACCTGCCAGAGACAGATGCTGCCAGGGATGGAACTTTAGTAAGCCACAACCATGTGGCAATACACAAGATTAATTGAAATGGGTTAAGATATAAGAATTAGCCATGGGCTGGAGAGATGGGTCCGTAGTTAAGAATACTGGCTTCTCTTTCAGAGGACCCAGGTTCAACTCCCAGCAGCCACATGGCAGCTCACAATTGTCTGTAACTTCAGTTCCAGAGGGCCTGATACCCTTATACAGACACACATGTAGTCAAAACACCAATGTACTTAAAATAAAAATAAATCATTAAAAAAAGAAATTAGTCAGAAAACGCTTAAGCTATTGGCTAATAGTATTGCAAATAATATAATTTTTGAGTGATTATTTCAAGTCTAGGCAGCTGGGAATGAACAAGCAGCCTCCACCAACAAAAATCTTAACTGAAAAAATGACTCCATGTCTGGGAAGAAATAGAAAAAATACCTCCATAAGGTTGACCTCTAGACAAATCTGCAAGGCGTTTTCTGATTAATAGTCAATATGGGGAGCCCAGTCCCTTGGAGGCGATGTCTTCCCTGAACAAGGTAGTTCTGGAGGCTATAAGAAAACAGGCTGAGAGCTGGGTGTGGTGCCACACATCTTTAATCCCAGCACCGAGAAGACAGAGGCGGAGGTATCTCTGTGAATTTAAGGCCAGCCTGGACTTAAATTAATTGCTACTGGTCTTGGTGACCCAGCAGAACTAGATGGTGAGACCCTACTGTTGAGGTCACAGCCCATTCTGCTTGCAGGACAAAGAAATAGAGCTGGAACTGACCTAAAAACTGCCTTCTGCTGACTGTTTTTATAAGGCCAGAAGAAACTACACAGACTGCAGCGAGAAAAAGCCATCCATGGCATCCCTGCAGCCAACCCTGCATGCTGCAAGCCAACCTGCCAAGATGTGCCATATTACTATGAAGTTCATGTGGCCACCAACTGCTTTTGGATTGGATTTAAGCCCAGCTCCACAGGAGGGAATTCAGGCCTGGTGCCAAAAACCCTGGCTCAGGAGGTCACAGGCTCTGAGACGAACCTACTACTGTTGTTTTTCTTAAATGGATATGTTTGTCAAGCCACACTGTAAATATTTATGTGTACTTCCATAGATCACTGACTCCCTCAACCTTAGCCAGAGGACCTTCTCCCTGAAGCAGTAAGCAGTGCAGACTCATAACTGGTCAAAGGGCAGAGACTAAGTGATGCTGAGAGTTCAGTCTTTTTTACTTTTTATTAATTTATCAGTTGTTTTTTTGTTTTTTTGTTTTTTGTTTTGTTTTGTTTTGTTTGAGACAACATCTCACTATGTACCCTTGACTATAGTGACGTTTTGTTTGCTTATGCTTTAACAAATAAAGTTTGCCTGAAGATCAGAGAGCAGAGTTAAGCCACAAGATGCCGGGGTGGGGGGGTGGTCTGGAGGCACATACCCAGGATTTGAGAGATAGAGGCAGACAGATCTCTATGAGTTCAAGGCCACCCTGGGAAACACAAGACTAAATCTGTCTAAAAGAGAAACAGAGCTCACATAAAGGTAATCCCAGAATTTGGGATCACTTGCCTTTAATCTAAGCACTAGGGAGGTGAGGACAGAAGTGATATGGCTGGGTGGAGAGAGGAACATAAGGCAGGAGACAGGAGCTCAGTGCAGTCTAAGGTTTGGTGGAGACAGATGAAGCCTGGAAATGCAGTATGAAGACAGGCTTACCTCTTCGGTCTGAGAATTGTTAGAGGTAAAGGAACTCTCTAGTGGCTAGCCTCTGCTTCTCTGATCTTCAGCATTAACCAATCCCTATATCTGACTCTTGGATTTTATTTTTAAGACTAACTAGAATTCGTGCTACACCTAGTTGTCCTGGTTCTCTCGATTAACCAGGCTGGCCTTGAACTTACAATGATCCACCTGCTTCTGCCTCCCGAGTGCTGGGATAAAAGATGTTTATCATCACACCTAGCTGAGTGTTCAGCCATAAATATGACTTCTGTATCAACAACCACAAGGTTTAAGGAACACTGAGGAAGAAGAGTATAGAGAATCTAAGAGCTAGAAGATGAAATGCTGTGAATGTGATCCCTTGGGCATGACATGGCTGCTACGTGGTCCCTTGGACATGACATGGTTGCTGCATGATCCCTTGGGCATGACATGGCTGCTACGTGGTCCCTTGGACATGACATGGCTGCTGCACGGTCCCTTGGACATGACATGGCTGCTGTACTCATGAACTTAACTGCAGCATGTTTACCTGCACAAGATCAAGCCAACAAAATCATTCAAAAACCCAGCAGACAGGGTCTGGAGAGATGGCTCAGTGGTTAAGAGCATTGCCTGCTCTTCCAACGGTCCTGAGTTCAATTCCCAGCAACCACATGGTGGCTCACAACCATCTGTAATGAGGTCTGGTGCCCTCTTCTGGCCTTCAGGCATACACACAGACAGAGTGTTGTATACATAATAAACAAATAAATATTTAAAAAAAAAAACCAGCGGACAGTACTAACTCAAGAAACAAGGGGAGGAAGAGGACAAGGAAGAAAAGGAGTGTGAGGATAGATTGTATGCAGGATACATTGTATCCTAAGAAAATTGTAAAGAATAAACAAAAAAAATTCTAAAAAAATTAATTAGATAAAGTACCCTAGTTAGGATTTCTATTGCTGTGAATAGACACCAAGACCATGGCAGCTCTTGTAAAGAAAATCATTTAATTAGGGCTGGTTTACAGTTTTAGAGGTTTAGTCCATTATCATCACGGTAGGACATGGTGGCATGCAGGCAGATATGGTGCTGGAAAAAGAGCAGAGAGTTCTATATCTTTATCCACAGGCAGCAGAAGGAGACTATAAACCACATTGAGTATAGCTTGAGCATAGAAGACCTCAAAGCCTGTCCCCACAGTGATACACTTCCTCCAAAAAGGCCACTTCCTATGGATCAAGCATTCAAACATGAGTCTATGGGGGACGTTCCTATTCAAAAAGCAATAGTAGACAGCAACATTAATATGCACAGGCACATGCACACATATGTGTACACTGAATACACAAAATTTTTGTGCTTGCATTAGCAGCATAAATACTAAAATTGAAAACAGAAAGGGAATAGCCTAGCCCTAAACAAGAATAAAATATAAGTTTGTGAAGTATTCCACTCTTAAAGAAAAGACTGGGAAAGGGGGGCTAGAGAGATGGCTCAGTGGTTAGGAGCACTGGATGCTCTTTCAGAGAACCTGGGTGTGAGTGCCAACACCCACATGCCTGCTTACAACTGTCTGTAACTCAAGTTCTAGGGGATCTGACATTTCCTTCTTGCTTCTGTGGGCACCAGGCACACATACGATGCAGCTATGCATGCAGGCAAAACACCCACACTTACAAAATTAAAAAGAAAATAACTGTTAAGCCCCTTAACAATCCTCCTCCACCTACCCAAGACAAACACCCTCAACTTCAACAACCTCCTAGACAGAGACAAGTCTCCCTCACTGGGAAGAGTAGAGAGGCCTAGTCATCCAAAGGCACGTGGTAGGATAAATCCTGCCAACAGTGGACAAAGCAGCCTAACCTCTGCCTGGTACACCACTCCCTCTTTGTGAGGCAAGCAGAAGTCTAGCTGGGCTGGGGAAGTGTCTCATTCCAACCTTAAGTAGGGTCCACGAGTCACAAGGTGTCAGAGTCTAGCTAGAGGATAAAGAAACCAATGGGTCCCCATCAGACCCAGCCGTCTCTCCATGAACACCAGGTCCAAACAAAAGTAATGCAACTGCCAGTCTCTATTGGCACAAGGCAGAACCCTGAGCCCCCTGGGGCCTTTTGTAGTGAGTGAGTGTGCCTGTGCATGCATGTGAAGGTCAGTCAACTTTGGGAGTCAGCTTTTTTGCCATCCTGTGGGTTTGGGGGCTCAAACTCAGGCTGTCAGTCTTGGTGACAAGCTCCTTTACCTGCCCAGCCATCTTACTAACCCTGTGGCTTTAAGAGCTACATAGACTAATTAAGCCCTTTACTTAGTTCCTCCGGGGCAGGAACTCACGCTCAGTAGCCATAGTTCCCCCTTCTCTCTCTTTCTTTAGCTCTAAGGAGCCTGGGACCCAGCACTGGCACTACCCTGGGTGTGGTTAAGTGAGCTGTGTCCTTAAGAGCAGGTGGGGAGGGTTGGTTACAGGAGCATAAGAGGTAAGACCAGTTCCCTCCAGTCCCTCCAGACTGCTGGTGTGTGGCCCAGGGCGGAGCCCCTCAGTTTAAAGAGCAGAACCCATCCAGGCTATCCTCAGACTTGCTCACTGTACCCGGCACCACTCACCTGGCTGGGCTGATCTCCAGGGTGAGTAGATACTTGCTAGGACTTGGAGGGGGTGGTCAAAAGAGCATCAGAAGGGGTGGTGGGCGCTGACCTCAGAACTCTGGGAAGTGAACAACTGTTTGGGGACTGTGAGGACAGAGATGGTCTTCCGGGGCCTGGAGACTTCTGACTTTGTGACTGTGTAGTAGAGGGTTCAGGGCTAGTGAAATAAGAGCCAACCTTTATCAGAGGTACACGTAAAATGGAAATGGGAAAATCCAGGAGCTGTGGGTTAAGGGAAGAGGCAGAAGAAACTGAAAAAAAGGAGGAGAAAACCAATTCCAGAGACAGGCTGAATGACAAACTCTCATGCCCACAAGTTTTCAGTTTTCCATCTTAAGGAAAAGGTCCGTGTTCTTTGTATATATTGCAGTAGGCTTTCAGTGCTGGGCATGTTTTGGGGACTGACATATCGTAGTACATCTAAATTTATCTGCACAATTTACAAGGTTGCTATTATTTACAGGACACTGATACACAGAGATGGTACCTACTAAGTCACATAGCTGTCAAGTGAATGAGAAGCGACTGAGTCTAGGCAGTTGGCACTGGATCTATGATTTCATTAGGAGGTCAGAGCTAGGCATAGTAGATAGTAACAGTGGCTTCAGAACTGAACCTTGACACTAATGATGTCTACCATCACACAGAAAAAAGGGGTGGGGGCTTTTCTCTAAAAGTCAGCTATACAACGTGTAGATGAAGCCCTGCATAGCACCGACTCACAGAAGAAAGGGGCTATGTAGCAGGCACCGATGCTCTGAGTGGAATTTAGGCCGCCTGCAACAGAGTCCCTGACTCCAGAAGAGGAGGCCTGGACAGGTGTCTTCCATCCCCGGTGCTGATTTTTAGACAATCTGTAACTCAGCCTGGCTACCCCAGGCCCAGATCTTTTCAAATAGAATGGCCAGGATCTGGACACCTGGTTAGGAAAGCCTAGCCCCTATGACTTAGGACAGCCATCTGACTTAGAGTGCTTGGTTTATCTTCCTGAATTCCCTCTGTTCCCATCTTTTGTGAAAGAGATGATATCTTTGTCAAGCTCTTCACAAAGCCCTCCGTGGTCTCTGTAGTGTTCTGTTCTAAACATTTAGCTCGAATTAACCAATCCACACATCAGGGCAGTCACTGCGGCCATCCATAGATGTGCGAGTAGAAAGGAGTCATTTCCGTAAGGAAGTGCTTGCCTAGTGGGATTCGTATCTCTAAATCTCACACCAGTTCTGCCTCTTACTAATGGAGAAAGCTGTGGAAGGTCACAGACCAGCCCACAGAGCCAATCCCACCCACCTCCACTCTGCAGCCTGCAGCCTTGCCCTTGGTCCTGACATGACGGGAGTAACCAGTGTCTTTCTCCTGGTGCTAGCAGGTGAGTTCTCCACACACTCCACCCTCCAAGGCGGTGGAGACCAGGCAGCCTCTCCCCAGGTGACTGCTATCCAAAAAAATGTGTTCACATTTAAACTGTCAGTTGCATGAAACACTAGCACAGGTGGAATAAGAACACTGGAAAAATTGTTTAATGGCTACTGAGACAGTGGATCATGGGAAACACACAATGCACATCAAGGTTGCGGCTTCTTCAAGAGGCAGAGAGCCTGGCCCTAGTCAAAGCTTCTGGGGTGTGGTGAAAAATGAACCAAGTGTCCTGTTCACAGCACAAGACCAGCAGGGCAAGAAATAGGAAGGGCTGTGAACGGAAAGCCATGGGCTGTTTGGGACTGAAGAAAGGGACCTGGTAGGCCCAGGGTCACTTCCCAGACCCCTCTAGATAGCTGTCATTTTAGACACCAGTGTGGCAAAGAAACACCCACTTCTTCTGCTTCTCTACTCAGCTCTGCCTGCCTTGGAAGCCAATGATCCAATCGGTGAGTACCCACCACTGCACCCTGGCAAGTGACATCTGCCACATGCCTGCGTTTTCCCTCTAAGACCCTATATCCTGTCTCCTAGTTTTGGCATTCACTAATTTATTTACTGTTTTTCATTTACTATAGATAAAGACAGTCCCTTCTATTATGGTAAGAGCTGGCACCAACCCCCACCCCTACCCACCCCTCCCATTCAATCCTTCTCTACTTTGGACCTTGTTGCCTGCCCCACTGAGGACGACGGTATATACCCCAGTACAGACAAGGTGGGGTGGACAATCAAACCTGTTCTGTGAGTTCAATGCAGTGAGGAAAAAGGTGCCCTGGGGCATGGAGATGGGGCTGGAAGCCCAGGACTGAGCTCAGTGAACCTTGTCCTCCTTCCTCAAGGTTCTTTGCCTCTTATATGACTTGTCCCTATAAGATATTACATGATGTACCTGGTCTCTTTTTCACTGCCTGGGATCTAAGTGCCATGTGGGAAGGTGCTCATTTATAGGGCCAGTGGGTGCTCATAAAGGCCTCCCACAAAGCCACACCCCCAACCCCATAAATACCTGTTGAATGCATGTGTGAGAGTACTGATACTGTTGTCTCCTCTCCACACATCCCCTGCCCCAAGACTGGGAGAGCCTGCAACTCGGCGGAATGATCATTGCAGGACTCCTGTGCATCACCGGACTAGCCATGGCCTTCAGTAAGTACCGGGATTGGCAGAGTAGTGGAGGGCAGGCTCAGACTCAGGCTGGCTGACTATGTTCTTCCTCTCCCAGGTGGCAAGTGCAAATGTAGAAGCAGTCATAACCCCAGGTAAGTGACTCAGTTGTATGTTCCCATGGCTGAGCACACCTAAGTGGTGACAAAGTTCTAGGACAGCAGCTTGTCTATTCATTTGGCTTAAAGTAGGACTTGTTTGAAGATAATAAACGCTCAAGGGCCCCAATTCAAGAAAAATCCATGGAAGAGTATTAAGGTGTGCCCACAACTGGGCGTGGTAGCGCACACCTGTAATCCCAGCACTTGGTAGATGTAGGAAGATTAGGGCAAAGTCATCCTTGGTTACATACCAAATTCAAGACTAGTCTGAGATAAGAGATGCACTGAAGTCTCAAAATCTCAAAATCCATAATTATTTTATGTATTATCTGTAGGGACAGCAGATCTTGATGCTAATCTGAGTGCTTCCCTTTTCTAGTTCCTTACCCGGGAAAGGCACCCCACTTATCACTGCAGGTGAGCTGGGTCTCTGTGGGATGCAGGGATGGAGAATGATGGGGTAGCGGAGGAAAACAGGTCACTAAAGAACTGATCCAACTCTCTACAGGCTCTGCAAACTGAACACAGAACCAAGTTGGAAGCAGTTTTGCCAGCCTCCCTGTTCCTCCCTTCCACAGACCTCCCCTTCCAGAATGGCCACCATAACACATACTGTGACGTCTTCAGCAACAGGGAAGGGTGCCCAATGCTTACTTTATAATAAACTCTCTTGCTGCTCCTTTATGTGGTCTTGTGACCTCTGTCGATGTAGTAGGGAGGGCAGTGATGTGCAAGTATCTGGTGAATAGTCTACGTCCAATGTCCACTCCCAGCAAGATTCTACTTTAGTGAGCATCCTCCTAATTGTGTGCCCCAAACGTTCTCCTTGTCCAGCAAGACCCAGGAATGAACGCACCATGAAGATTACACAATGTTTTATCCAAAGACTAGAATTTGCACTTTGTGCCTAGAGACCCCAGTCATCCCGACACAGATGAAACCTAGAATGATTCTCAAGTGGTCCAGCCACTCTGAAACCCCACCTCACTCAGGAAGGCTTCATCAACCCATCCACCCTGGTAAAATCTCATATAGCCCTCAGGCCAGAACATGGGAAACCTCCATTGTCCTGGGACGTGAGTGTACCCAGCAGTCTCGTGATAGTAAAAAAAGGGTTAAATAGCAAAACCCAGAACTCAGAAGGCCTCTTGGTAGTGAAGGTAGCAGACCACTTCTTGGGTAGGGTAGAATGCTGTGTGTTTGGAGCAGGAAGAGGGCAGTTAATGCTAGTGGCCCAGAATCAGGCCTAAAAGTTACCTGAATTGAGCTCTCAAAAGCGAAAAGCGAGAAAAATTGGCGAAATGATTGCCCTGGCTGAGGAAACAGCATGCAAATGCTCAGGGGACAAAATGCCCAAAGCTGCGCCTCTGACGTGACTGTAGTGCAGTCAAAATCCGAGAGCACAGCAGCTTCACTGGAGGCACAAAAGAACTGAAGCCCAAAGACCAGCAGCGCCCCCTTGAGGTGCTTCGTGGTACTCTCCAGGCCTGTTGGGAGGTCTGCTCAAAGCAGGACAACTGCAATGTATGTCTGGTGACAAGATCGAGCTATTGTCTCACAAGCCAAAGCATAGGAAGCTCTGCTATTTGAGTGAAAGCTGTCTCTTGCCTGCTATACCTTTGCCCTGAGATATAGATTCCCTTTCCAGCCACACATCTGGGTTGAAGAGGTTACCAGACAAACCCCACACCTATCTTCACTGCTGTTCCTGAAAAGGGAAAGTATGCTTTGTGGTCACAGGGAATTCTCAATTCCTGTTGCTGTAGACTAAACACTGCACCTAGTAGACTAGCCTTGAACTTTCTATTAAAAGCAAGATGAACTTGAAGCTCCCTTAGGCACCTCGAACTGCGGGAGATTTTAGGTGTGGACCATCACATGGGTTTATGTGGTGCTGGGGCTCAAACCCAGGGCCTCAAGAATGCTATGAGAGGGCTGTTTTTAGATCTCATCCCTCCACTCCTATTAGCAGCCACTCTGAGGTGCAAAGCCTCAGAGTCCTGTACATAGCTCGTCACCGGAAGTCAGCAAATACACAAGCTTCTTCTGCAGCATAGGTAGCTGCATGAGGGAACATGGCTTTGTAATGGGGGCCGAGGTACAGTAAGCGATTAGCTCCAAAGAGATGTAAAAGGTTTTCTTTTCCTCTAAGAGGTTTGGGCTGAGAACTACTTCTCTCCGGGGTTCTCTGTGGGAGGTTACTCAAGTACTTCAGAATGCCAGATCACTGGACTACTGCACCCTGGCAGGAGGCAACTTCAGGATGCCTTTCCATCTTCTTCACTCACTTTAACACCCTAGTAGTTTTTAACCTGTGGGACACATCCCCTTTGAGGGTCGTACAAACCTTTCATAGGGGTCACCTAAGACCATCAGAAAACGAATGTTTACATGACTTAACAGCAGCAAAATTGGTTATGAAGTAGCAACAAAAATAATTTTATGGTTGGGATCACATAACGGTTGAAGCATTAGGGAGGTTAAGAAATGCTGTACTTACTATCCTTCTCAACGTACATGAAAGGCCTCACAATAAAGTCCACAGCCTGAAAACCAGGACATCCTCCTGTTCCTGAAGAACTCTTTCAGACTATCCAGCTGGCACAGTGGCTAGGCCTGCCTGGCTGGCTATCATATTGAAGATTACCAACTATTTTTCATTTTTTCTTGAGGCAGTCTTGTGTAGTTTTTCTTAACCTTGAGCTCCTACTCTATCATCTTTTGAGACTGATGATCTGGCCTTGACTAACATCGCCTACCAAGGATGAGTTCAATACTAGGACTAACCAAAATTGCACAGAAACATCCCCACTAAGAAGGAAGCACAGGCTCTGGAAAATAGGTTGTACCTGAGTAGAAAAGCTGAAACTCTGCAGGGCCCTTTCTGTGGTTAGACTGCTGGAGACTGGCCAGCCAAGTTCCCCACCAGACTGTAAATCATTCAGGGATTCCAGGTTGCAGCTTTCATGGAGTCATTAACCAAGCTGGGGTGGACTGCAGTTGAGTTATCCCTATTCCTGAGTAACCCCCAACCTCTACCTGTAAGAAAATATTTGGGTCACCAACTTGGACTTTTGCTAATGTTAACTTGGTCTTCGCTGGGTTCCCTATCTGGGATGGCTACTTATTAAATCTATTTCACACAGCCTAGCTGAATCAAAATCCAGCCTTTTCAAATTGTTGATCAGGCCAGGGAAAAGTCTTAAAAAAAAAAAAAAAGTACTGTCCTTAGCCCCAAGTCCTCATATAAAGCTGGCAAGACAATTCTCAGGTACAACAGGCTGATCACTGTTTATCAACTCTTCAGCCTTTATTATTTCTAGTGGGTCAGAAACTTACCTTTCTGAACAAGATGCTGCTGTAATGTTTGTTTTCTAGAATAGGTAAGCATAGATCTATTTCTTGTTTTCTTGAGTCAGGGTCTCATGGAGCCTAGGCTGGCTTAGAATCCAACTAAAATGGGTAATAAAGTAATGAACAAATGAAACTTCCCCAACTAAGAAGCAATGTGAAGAGGACAAACAGGTAGGAATGGTGGCTCATGCCTACAATCTGAGTCATCTTCCTCAAAGGCTGTTTCAGCCTAGCCTGGGATAGAGTTGAGACAGTGTCAAACAGAAAAAGGGAAGCACTGAAAGCTGCTCCTAAGTATTAAACCAATTTTCTAAGATTTTTCAAAAATAAAAACCTCAATTGACCACATGTAAAACATAAAAATAAATGTTAACTCCACAGCTGAAGAAATGGCTGAGGGCACTGACCCCATAGTCCTGAAGCTTACATGGAGAGCTGTAAGATTAGTATTTTCCCTCAGTGAGAAACACAGGGCCTCATCCATGTTACACACGCCACTGCAAACAGTATTTTTACCTATGCCTTGAAAAATTCTCATTGTGTTCTGACCACACTGACAAATTTTACTCCAGACAGCTTTTGTTTAGCTGCCCAAATGCTGTGTGACACTAAGCTGTTTGGGAACACAGGGCCAATGTGGTCATGGCTATTTGAACACTCACAAATGGGAGGATGCCACATGAGCCTTGCAGTCACTAGCCACCACCTCCAAGCTACTGGATGAACTTTCCTCATGTAAGAGGTCTTTAAAACAGCAGCAGCAGTCCTCACTTCTCTAAATCCAGTCAATCCACCAACATAGTAACTCTTTGCCAAATGTAAATGATTTGAACACATCTCAGAAGGGACCTTTTGTTGAACGTGACACTTGAGATATACTTCTGTTTAGATTTTCTCCTTACATCTCCTTTCTGTGTGCCTTTTCTTCAACATGCTTCTACCCTTTAGTAGCGTTTCCTAGCTCCAGGGGAGGCAATCTTAGTGATCTTTTGAAATCAAGGGCCAAGTCGACTCTTAAGCACTACTGAAACTTTGGAGAAAGAGTATTTCATGAAAACATTGTCAACACCTCTTGCATTGGCAAGACTCCTCAGGAGGCACAGACACTTATTACCAACTCAAGTTCAAGGCTTGGGACCCATCTAATCAAACCAATCTGGGTACCTCACTTGCAACCCAGCATGAATGAGTCCACAAATAGAAATAAAGAGGCTAGAGAGGTTTGGCTTGGTTTTTAAGAGCACTTCTTAAAGAGGACCAGTGTTTTGATCCCTAACATTGCCAGCTACACATGGTTAAAGATGTTTTTGCATGCTTTAAGACCACTGGTAAACTCAACCAGCTTACTAGCTGGCACTCAGGTGTGGCACAGAGGAAATAGGATACTATAGGTCCCTTGCTATGCAAAGGTAAAATTCTCTAACCAATGCCCTTGAGATTTGGGTAAGATTGCCAGACTCTCTCCACAATATATTGTTTCTAGGTTGGAGAACTGGTTCTTTTGTACAAATAGAAGACTGTAACATCTAATATGACACACCATTGTGAACACTCAAGAAGTGCTCCCAAGGATTTGGGTTCCTACATCTATTCCTCTCTGGCTCATCTGTTGTACTTAATAGCTGGCCATCCTTGCCCTCCCTAAAAAAAACTTTGTACTACCTGGACAATTATCTCACACGGAATGAAAATACTCATTCTGAACTTAGTATTTACAATGTTGAGACTCCAATAAAAAAGTTATGATATATAACCTCCCCCCCCAACAAAAAAAAGGGCGAGAGATAGCTCAACTTTAAGGCACTTTAGTTCTGAGGGTCCAACGCCTTCTTCCAGGTGCTTCAGACACAAGGCATGCATGCAGTACACTTACATGCAGGCAGAACACATGAACTTGCTTTTTTCCAATAGTATGCAGCATTACGTAAGGACAGGTGATAGCCTATATGTTTCCTCATATTGGACTGTTTACAGCCACTGTCTCTACAATGCACACACTACTTTTCAACCTAAAACTGTGAGCGCCCAACTGCCAATCTCTACCCATCCTAGAACTATATAAAACAAGATGGCCTTAAACTCATGGTGATTTGTCTGCTTCATTCTCCTAAATGCTGATAACCCCACCAAGCTAACACCCCTATTTTTAAATCTGCTCTGGAATATAGTAAGGGTTTATAAATCCTTTTCCACCACCCAGTTTACTGCCTTTCGCTGAGTAGATAAGTTGTGCCAGTCATTGTGAAAAAGTCTTTATTTTAAGAAAAAAATTTAGTTAACAAA